TGACCAACAGCCTTCCATGAACAAAGACATGAAAATCAAGGCATCTAGAAAATAGTAATTTTAAGAAAATGCAAGTAATACAGTTGTAAGGAAACAGAAGTAACAAAAACACTCAGTGTAAACTCATCTCTCAAGTAATATCCACCTGTTAAGCTAAAAAAAAAAGAAAACACATAACAAATGCCATTTACCAAACTGATGGATGGTATTTAATATTTTGTGGCCTTCAGCAGTGTCTACCTAATTAACAAATGAGAAGATAAATGAAGATGACTTTTCAGTCTGTCCTCTTACAGCAAGAAACTGCTAAGAAGCTGCAGCCTGACCTTCCCCACAACAGAGCACATGAGAACAATCATCCTGTGTCAACACCAAACTCCACAGCCACTGAGTAGCTCTGCAGACAGCATCACTGTTGCCATCCAGTTTTGTTGCATGAACAGAGTATCTCCTCCAGGAGGGTTGGCAGGTACTGCTTCCAAGAAAATCCTGAAAACAGTACTTTGTGCTGGTAAACCCCTGAGAATATGCAAGTAGAAACTAGCTATGTGATCCTGCTCAGCCTACCAGGAAGCAAAGCTATATGGAAGAACTATAGCTTTTGTAGTGAACCCAAAAATTTTTTTGGCTGCTACTGAGGACCAGGTAAGCTGGAAGCACATATCCTTTCCCAGCTCTTTCATCCTGGTCTAGGTGTCTCACCTGAAAAAGTGTGAGGTCTATCAAAAGTTTACTCTGGAGCAGACATAATTTCTACCAGCCAACACCAGAGAAACTGGTCCTCCAGTCTATCCTTTTTTTTTAAGTTATCTTGAGGAAAAAAACCCATTCATTTAGAGCATGTACCTCACCAAACACAGTATCTAGCAATGCTACTAGTGATCAACAACAAAATTCATGGTTCCTATTATTGTATCAACTGGACTTAAGCTCCAAAGTATTTCATTTCAGGAAGACACCAGGGGTATGAAATAAAAGGGAACCAGCAATACACTTTAATATAGGATCAACAAACATTGTGTAACACTGTACTAAGAGACAACACCGGCAAGGCTGTGACAAAAACATAGGTACTATGTTCCAGATCACAAGAAACTATCATTTGAAAGCAGATGTGGAACAGCCACATCTCCCCTTACATTCAGCCACAATGGCCTGAAGGTTATGGGAGGCACAAGAGCAACAAAACCAAATCAAACTATCTTGAAAGTATCCAAGTAACATACCCCTGTTGTATGTTACATACCTTCTGGTTATGTACCAGAATGACCAGAAGACATCGGGTTCATATTAACTTTTATTTTCATATATGTACAACTTAAGAAACAAATTCTAGATGGAAAAATTTCAGAAGTTATCTTGAACAACACGACTGAACACAACACCGACATACCTTTGAGGCAGCAAATATTACTCCTATTAAGGCTCTCATGAAAGCAAATATTACTCCTATTAAGGCTCTCATGAAAGGATGGATACCATGCAAATGCAATTCAAGAGTACATTACATTTCAAAATATGCAAACTAAGTTCAACTTTAAGTCTTTCAGAAAAAGAACATAACAAACATTAGAACATTAGAACTATGAGCCACGAACACATTTACATATATGCTTGAAATTAAGTGTGTGGACCAAATAAAGTTAATTAAAATGTAACAGATGTCAGCCTCTCTTCAGTCAGATCAGAACTACAGTTGGAATCAATCCCTTCCAGCATCACAGGTGCCAATGTGTGCATCAACCTCATCATTTTGTATTCACATAAACTAATATTGACTGCAAAATTCCCCCTTTTTTCAACCTGTAACGCCTCAGCATTAATTTCTCCTCACTGAATGTACTTAATCCCCCTACTGAACGTGGGCAGGAGGCATGGTACAGAGAATGCCTGTAACACAGCCGCACACAGCAGGAACTGCAGGCACTGCACAACAACAGTATTTCCACTGATGCCAAGCTAATTTTTGTATATATATTTGTAGTTTTGTAGCTATATGAAGGATATATAAAAGCAAACATTAGCTTGGCATCACCATCAGACACTTAGAGAGATGCTGATTAATTTCTGCATACTGTACTCCTTGCTCATCATCTCAAAGAGTGATAGCTGCTTTTTTCTTAACCCCTTACCAGCATCAGCACTAAATCAAACATGCAAAGCTAATCTACTAGAAAAAAATTATTAATTAATATTTTAGTATAGTAACACCACTTGTGCAAACCAACATCTAAAGATGGTCTAATGTTACCAGCAAGAAGAAAGTTAATTTCTTCTGTGTCATTGTAACAAAGTGAAATTACATACAATGAAGGTGGTTAGCAGCATTACTTTTTTGGTGTCATGACTAACATAACTCAAAAATAAAAGAACTAGTAAGTTGGAAATGATGAAAATGTGAAAAGGTAACCACCACAATTGCTGTGACCTCTCCCAGGACGTTACGTGCAACTGCCTGGTGAGTCAAAGGTGCTAGGTGATTTTCTTCAAGCCTGATGTTTACACAATCAAATTTAACTTGTCCACTGAAAAGAAACTAAATTAATTTTCAAAATGTTTTATCGTGCAGCATTTTTGGCAACTCTAAAATTGCCTAAAGGCCCAAATTTTTCATAAGTTTTCTATCGCATAACATTCAGTGCTTACAAATTTCTTATGAACAGGATTCCTTGCCTAAGAAATTAGCAGTTAAAAATAGGAAGATTCTTTCATTTCTGTCACCTAATTTTGAGTCACAGCAGCATATAATTTAAGATACTGCTAGGTACACACTGTGTTGATATCTGCAGGTGAAAGAATGAAAAAGGGAAAAGAAAGATCCATTTTCCTTTAATCCTGTCCAGCAGCTGTTGGCAATTTTCTTTAGCTATCACATGATGGATAGGAAGGCTCAATCCCCTAGGAACTGGTTTATAGTGTTCAAATGCTCTCAAGGACTCTTGTTCAACAGCACATTCAGTTTAACTAGGGACTACAGACTGCAAGAGGTAACAGATAGTTCCTGGGAGAATCTATCATTCTTCAGAGAAGCTGTTTGATCAAGGGATAAGATCTGAAAGAACAATTGCATTATCTTTAGCTATATGGTTTATGTATCATGCCATTGAGATGAATGAACAGTAACTCCAGTGGTCACTCAAACAAAGAAATCTGCATAAAAGAACATGTTGAGATATTACCATTTTAAGACTTTCCATACAATTTGCAACACAGAAAAACTGGATGCACAAAACCATGCAAGTCAAACAAAGCTAATCTACAATAAACAAAACCAGAAAACACTTATTTCAAGACTTAAAACATTAAAATATTCATCCAATGCTAAATAGGAGCAATAGAATAAGCTCTAGACCTAGCCACGTAATTCCATAAACATTTCAACTGGCTCTTTCAGCCTTTACTTCTCATCTCTTTTAACGTGTTTTTATCATTTCAGGCCATAAACTTAGTGAGTGGCTGATGAGCCACCATTGCTATTAACAGCAATGCTCCAGGGATTTGTGGTTATATGTGCATGTAGCTGCACAGCCTTTTTCCACAATTACATGGGATGTCCTCCTCCCAAGAATAAAGCAGGATGTTAACTGCTCCAATACCAGAACTACATTCTGAGGAGACATGCTTCTTTCCTGAGCACACCAATCCCACCTGGGTTGCCGAGTCATTTAAAAGCATGCTCTGACTCCTAAGACCAGACTCCTGCCTGGAATCTGTGCCCTGCCATTATCAGATGCACCTCTCTACTCATCAGATGAACAGACAAATATCAAGTCTTAAAAATATAAGCCCAGTGAAATAATTAATGTGGTCCCTGGCCAAAAGTTACACTCCAAAATACATAACCTAATCTTTTGAATTATCTTTTGAAATGCTCAACCAATCATCACACCCATTTTGCCCCAAACCTTTAACAGACACTACAAAAAAAGCCAGAAATTCCACATCAAACTTAAGAGATACTAATCCCAAAAACTTCAAAGATATACCAATATATTTAAAATGACATAGAAGAATATGGGCAAAGCTCAAGAACTTTATTTTATAAAGTCCTATATTTTACAAACACAGAAGAAGTTAGCCAATGCAAAGCACAAAAAAGAGTAAAGAGGTTTCTTGATTTCTAAACACCTCAAACCACTGAAGGAAGCAAACTGCACTAGAAGAAGTTGACAAGTAGTCTTCAAGGAAAGTACCATGTAAAGCACACTGCATTAATCTAGACCTGACATTATGAGGGTATGTTTCACTATAGCAAGGTCTGTACAAAACACCAGATCAGAGACAGAACATTAAAGTAAAACATCAGATGTCACAGCCACTGTTCTACTGATTCAGGAAAGGCAGAGACTCCGAAATGAGCAGGAACTGTGAACCTGCTTAATAAAGGCCATTCTTGCAAAGTCAAAAATCATACATCCAACACTTTCATCCCTTCATTAAAATAGAAATACTAAAAAGGAGCACTCAGTAACATATCCCCATTGCTTCTGACTGACACGTTGAATTAAAGGTAAAAGAAGAACTTTAGCAGAGACAATTAGAGCAACAAAGATCTTTCAGCACAAGGTAGCAGAGCTGAGGAACCTACCAACCAGAAAGTGAATTACTTTGTTTGCTACTTAAACAACCAGAAGCTGTGAACTACTTCCTTTTATGAGTCATAGAAAAGCTTTCATCTGGAGGCCATTCTGAGAAAAACCTCACCCTGTGTTTAAGCATGTAGCCCAGCAGAAATCACTGATTAAGAAAAACAAGAAGTGTGTATTTGCTGGGTTTCCTTCTGAAAATTTCAGAGAAAACGTCCATTTAATGCAGAGAGCAAACAAGGTTGTCAGTCTAGGTTTTGCTCTGTCATGCTCCTGGTCCTGTCTAGGTACTCCTCTGAAAAAAATCTGATTGATGATGAAGGCACAGTTATACAGACTTTAACATTCTCTCTAAATGTAGCTATGCAAAAAAGGGAGTGAGGGTAGGGAAAACAAAGGTGAAGTATATTTCTCTTCAAATAATTAAGTCCGTTTATTTTCCAACAATGATATAAATTTAAAATATGAAACAACAACAATACAGCTATAGAATCTAGGTTTTCTTTCAAAGCAGCAGCTTATAAAACATATAAAAGCTAAAACCTCACCACAAGCTTCAGAAAACCAAGAACTGAGTGAATTTTGCCAAAGACATGAAACTCACAAAATACAGTACACAAAAATACTGGAATGCATAAGATATAAAGCTACACATTTTAGGTAAAGAAAGGCATTGTAAAGGATACAAAATTTGCAAAATTAAAGCATGGGACTTGGGGAAGAGTACCATGAATACAAAGAAGTTGGCAATTAATATACATAGATGGAGTGAAGAACATGGCAGTTTAATATTTAGCATTCAGTTTTCAGGTTCATGACTTCACTTTCTTAGCATCCTTTTTTCCAGAGTTTTCAGCAGCCAAATCTGCTTTTCTCTTCTGTGACTAAAGAGAAAAAATAAGTATAAATTTAACAAGATGGTAGCATTATAAAAAAAAAAAAAATTAAATACATAACTGACTATTCAAAAGGGAATGTATAACACCAATGCATTCTAGATTTCACTTCATCTTTGTAGGATATAATGGAAAGGCAAATATTAATCCCTGATGTAGACACTTAATTCTCCTACCCTTTTTATATTCTTAAAATCTTTACACTGTCTCAGTGGTGCAGGCATCACACACACCATGAATTGGATGAAAAGATCAGAACGTTGACTTATACACAATTCTGTTCTAAAGATGACAACCCTTCAAAATAAAGCAGCACTTTAATTTCTCCTTCCAGCAACTACTATGCAGGGGAGGAAAAAATATATGAGAAGACACTGAAGCAACATGCGATCTACGTAAGTAGGAAGAAAGTAGGCAGTGCAATGCTCTAAAAAGTCTTTCTCTGCTACTTAAACAAAAGATTTCTGAAAAAAACCAAACCAAAACAAAAAAAGGGCCCCCAAGTACTAAACATTGGGAATACCTACCTAAGCAAATCTAGGAGAGCTGTGAATAGATAAATATTTCAGTTTAATCTAAAAAAATATATAATTGAATTCTACCCCACTGGAAGTAAAATAAGTGCTGCTAAACATACTGCTGTAACTTTTGCTCCTCTTTTCTTCTTTTCAGCTCTTTCTTTTTCCTCAATTTCCATATTTTCTTTTTCTATTAATGATATGAGAGTATTGCAGCGTCTCTGAAACTCCTAAGGAAAGAGAACACATCAAACTTTTAAGTAAATTATACAGCTTTTCTTGCTTCTTGTATGTTCAAAATCCTTTTATTTCAAAGCACTTACATTTTCCTTAAATATTCAATAATACTAATCATTAGCTCAGTTACTATTATCCGTCTTTCCCTCAGTGTAACCTTTAGAAACAGAAAAGGATTTTCTCTCCTCCTGACAAGGAGTTTCCAGGATTCTGTCTTCCAGACTGACATCCCAAAGACTGATGTGATCTTTCATCTTCGTTAATGAAGCAAATTACAGCCTGCCAGCATAGTATGCAAGATTTTAAGAAAGAGGACTTCAAGTATATCTTTAAAGAGAGAAAAAGAAGCAAAGCTATCTTAAGCAATACTTTTCTGTGGCATACAGACTACAGTGGGGTTTTTTTTTGGTGAAAAGACACAGTAGAGCTGCAAATTGGCCAAAAATCTATTCAGTCTTAAATTGTGAACTCACTGTTGTATTTTTATAGAACTTAAGATAGTAGGCCCTAAATGCTTTTAACATCAAGACTTGCAAGACATCTGAAAGCCATCAGGACTAAATGCCATAATGTTGTTTACACATTAAAAAGTATATCCAATACAACTCAAAATATCTGTATTGCAATTACTAGTGGTTGGCTTGCTTAATAGAACTCACTTGACTTGTATAATTTCTTGTACACCATTTAAAAGAAAAAGATGTCTTACAAAATACCTAACAGTCCCTATTCTTATTATTGTTCTGTATATTCTATGTACTATTGAGAATATAATTCCATGGGCTTTTCTTTCCAAATCAGGAAGCTCTCTTCTGATGAAAACAAAGCACAAAAAATATGTCTCATCTCTGCTAAACTAAGTGAAGCCACTTTTGAAACATAGCCTATCCTAGAATTACCTAGAAGCATGTATCTTAACCTGCAATGGGTCCATTTGCAATGAAGTGAACAAGTGACCTTTTTTCCCAGAAATTAATCTCTTATTTTCTCAGCATAGCTAAGCTGGATATTGCCTCAGCCATCATGGTCCATCATGGTGATGGCTAAGATGCAGCCTCTGAGCTTTACTGATCCTGAACCTTCCCAAACAGGCAAGCATGTGACTCATCTTTGAGATGCTCTAACCCTCAAGCTTAACCACATTCTTTAAGTTTTATGGTTTCCACAGACTCCTCTACAAAGGTTGCTCCATGGCCTTGGGCATAAACTGTGTAGTTCAGAATGGACACAGAGAATCCTACCACCACCTGAATTCTTTTTATCAGACACACACAAAAAAATCCTCAGCACATTTTTCTTTACAACTCCCTTCCAGAAATGTTCCAGTGTCATGCTTCTAGCTTCACCAACAGAGTACTGTAATAAATCGCTTTTATCACATCCCTGTAGCAATAACCCCCCACACTCCAGTGAAGGTTAAACCATGAATTAGGGTGCCATGCTTGTGCCCTGGTATGTGACAGTCCTTCTGGAGCTAAAATACTCTGACTTAAATTAATAAACACCCTCAAATTGCACCCAAGCAACAAATTTCATATAAAAAAGCAACAACTCTGAACTCGAGTTCAAGCCATCCCAATATATATATCACAACCCAAACACAGAATAAGAGAGCCTTTGTCCCAAAAACCTACACTCTACAGATGAACAGAGATGAAAAAAGACCAAAATAGAATGAGGATATGCCAGAAGTATTTTACATCATTTAAATTTGTGTATATTGCACTCAGATTTAGGAACTGAGGTAAAAAGTGATGACAAGCTCCTTCATCTTCATCATCATCATCATCATGGATTTTTTTCTAGCATATGAGAAATGGGATTGAGTTAAACTCAAAACAAGCAACTAATCAGACTAAGAAATAATCTTGATCCACTTGCCTAAGGTCCTCAGAAAGATCCTTCTCTTTCCTGGGGACAAATGCTTGCATAAATACATACATTTATAAAGTGTTCAGGTTCATGGTTAGACTTTCCAGATGGACTACTGCTCCAAAGCATCTGTTGTGGACAGAAGATAAGACTCACGAACAAGATTCTTTGGAGAATCACAAAATCAGCTGACAGTAACACAGGTTGCTTGTACATCTACCATGAAAAATAATCTGAGTGACAAATCCTGCACTAAAGCTACTGAAATTTCAATATGGACTGCTGCATTCCATTTTAGTCCTATGAAAATAAACTTATTTAAAAATGCCTTGCACTTTTAGAGATGAGTTTTTATTCTGTGTGGCCTGATATCTTTTTTTTTGGATGGAAAGAGAGTATCTGTACTTTGTTCACCTCCTCACAGCTATAAAGACCTGGATTGCAATAAATAAAATGGGAGCACTGAACCATTGCTTTCCACATGGCTGGAGGCAGAGATGCTGACTTGGAAGCAAAGGCAGCCCTCAGCTCTGTCCAGAGGCCTGGGTATTTCTGTATTTACTAAGGAGTCATTTGTCTTATGCCAGGGAGTGTTTGCAGAAAGCTAAAAGAGAATATGCATAATTTATGACTTCAGAGAACAGATACATGCCTCATTACTGCCATGATATTTTGCATTCTTCCTGCATGGACGGAAATTAAAAAACAAAACAAAATAAACAAACAAAAAAAAACCCCAACCTGTGCTTAATTTAAAAAGGAAAAAAAATTATAATATTAGGCACTCATGGTATCTTTAAGTACTTACATTTGTGGTAAACCATTTGATTATAAAATAATTAAGTGAAGCAGAATTTGTTAATTGAAGAGAAATCTCTGGGAGAACAAACAGAAGTAATAAGATGGAAGATAAATTAGAAATTTTTATGGAATTCAAGAGACATCTAGTGGTTAGAACACAAAGCTTTCTCAAAGAGCCTGCTAAGCCATTTTCAGAATTATGCTGCCCTTTTTATCTTGTTTCATATGAGTAAATGATCACGTGTGAATATCAGTATTTTAGGAAGCCTTCTCCACTTTCACTAAACTTATTTACTCCTCTATAAATAATTGTATTTATACTTCATTATTTTTAGCATGTGATTTTCCAGCACATTTTACAAAAAAAATAATCACCAAACTAGTGCAAAATGGACCCACAGAAATTAATACCTCCACAAATGTCAGGACATTAGAATATATCAACTATATTACTAAGCCATACAGAGCATGATAATTTAGAACATTTCAGAAAATTAAATGCACATGGAAAGTGAAAGATTGTTTTAAGTTTGCATTTCCGTAATATTCTTTTTCAATCAAGTAGTAGCAAAAAAACTAAAATTATTAATGGATAGAATTTTAAAAGAAAACCTAAGCCAAAAGATTCACTATATTCCCAGTGTCTCAGTTTCAGCATTAAGACACCACAGAACATATTTCTACACTTGAGCAAATGATTTCTATCCCATTTAAAAAAAAAAGTATACTGAACATAAGGATGTGCAAGACTTAAACTGAATATTTAACTCTACCCTGGACAACTATATATCAACTAATATTAAACACTATGCTACTTTTTTAATTTCTAGTACACAAGTCTATGATTTATTTAAATGGATTCCTGCATAAGCAACTTAAAATAAATTTCTTAATATACTAAGTATTGCAGGCTTCTCTCTTTACGGACATCATTTTAAAATCCAGTATTTCTTCAAACAGACATTTTAGTAAGAAACGCTTGTAATTCTTTTTAATTAAGGGCTAACTGCTACACTATTCAGAAATGCTTCAATTGCTGAAATACCAAGTAAAAAGTGTATTGCATAATCATAAGCAGTACTGGGAAAAGCAAATATACCCACCTGTTCAAATACACATTTTAAATATTTTACCTTATGATTTATTTATTCTTAGTACAGTATCCAGAACTCTGAAAAACACTCTTTCAGATAAATCCTGAAGTCAGGAAATGAAGACAAACAAGTAGAAAGAACTGAGCAAAAATTTCAGAATAGATACAACAGCTTTTTAACACTGAAAGAGTGCCGTTTTCTGATGATGGTACCTACATACCTTAATATTTGCAACCACTAAAGCTGTGGTTATCAATTCCTGCTTAATGATTGAATTAAAAATTAATGGCTATGCTCTAAAATTCCCAGTACTAGTCTTCTTGCTATTAACCTTGTATCATATTCTCTAAATACAAACAAAATTTTCAGTAAGGTATCCGTAAAGAAATTTAAGCACTTGCATGGGCTAGTCCACATTCCCAAAGTGCATTTTAAACCTATTTCTTCAATGATTAATTTGTATGTGAATCACTAACTTTCCTCATGCTGTCAGAAATTAAATACTGTATAAAAAATCCTGCTTCCTTCTCCAAGTATATTATTCAGATGTTTTCAGTCTTTAATATTAATCTAACAACTCTAAAGAAGTGGTATTTTAAGAAACATTGTTTGGTAAAACGCTCAGTTTGCACTAAAAGTAACAAGGATATTTTTAATTTTAGTCTACCTCTGCATTAATCCCTCTGGGTAACATAGGGCTTCAGTTTGACAGTTTTTCTAATCTGTGTTTCAGTTGTATTGTGTTTTTTCTGTACTAAGGCAAAAGTTTACTTTAAAAAAATAGAAACAAAAATAAAACCCAAAGTTATTCTTTCAGCATTTGTTTCCTAAACAAATTTTATGTGCCAGTGCTTAAAAAAACAAGATACCTCATGTCATGCCCTAGTCCCTGTAAGTGATACCTACCATCGCAGTTCTGGATTTGATAAACCAGTCGAACCTGAACTGAGGAGCATTGCGCACACACTGCCTCAGCTCTTCGTACACATTTTCCTTGTCAAAGCCCATCTTGTGTAACATACAGATCAAAAATCTGTCTTCCTCTTCTGTGTAGTTTTTCCCTTTGTTTGTTCCGTACTGAATACGCAGCTGATGAAAAGGTGCTTTGTACCTTGCAATCTGAACACAAAACAAAAGGAGTAATAAACATATGTTTATTATCAATGTTAACAATCAAGGAATTGTTACATGATACTGTGGATCACTGCTAGATGGAACACTACCTATGCTGCATAAAAAGACAGAACTCTCATCCCCAATTTTTCCTTTTCTGAAGGAACTGTTTGAAGTCAGCTGCAGAAAACAATAAAACTGGAATAATTACTTTGGCATCAAGGGCTTTCTTGATACTGATCCTCCGCTGAATTCTTGCTTCTCCTCGTTCAATTTGAGCCATAATCCTCTCAATGTCCTGTAGTTCATTACAACGTTCCCAGAAAACAGCTGAAAACACAGAACAATATTGCTGAATATAATCTTTTCCTCTGCACTTAAAACTTTACTCTTAAGATACTCTGGCAAAAAAACAACAAAAAAAAAAATTAGCTTGTACTTCTAGTAAATATTAAACAGTAAGCTAATGCTCTCCAGCTTACTAGGCTAACCAAAAAATAAGCTTGCACTGATTCTTTATTCAGTGTCTTTAAAAGTTAACTGTAAGTAAAGGCTTAGTAAAAATTCTAACAAAATTTACATGCAACGTATTTAATTGTAAAATCAATTCAACACTTTGAAGAGAACTCTTGCAGAGCTCTTCCTTTTTAACTACAGGAAGAATATTGCAAAGTTGATTTAATGAAGGCATTTAGTAAAATTACATCCAAGGCTGAAAGAGGAAGAAATCTCAAAAGCACTCTGTAAATACAAAAGACAAAGATACAGTGTACTAGGTAAAACAGCAGAGATGACAGCATAAAGAATCACGTTGGCAGTATATGGCAAATTCACAATTTCACAAGTCCCTGTTGTCGGTGATAATTAACTATGTCGAATTCTAAATCTTGACTAAGGAGGGCTAAAGGCAGCTGTAGGTGTTAGTTATATGCTGCAAAATAAACCTTTTTAATAGAATTTAGTCTTCTGAAAGAAAAAACAAAACCTGTTGCACACTTTATGAAAAAGAAATACTTAAATGCATCCAAAATCTCTATCCTGTAATTTTAAAAGAACATGTAGCAAAAATCACAGTAACACTCTGGTATTAGGAAATAAATACATTCAAAATAGCACAAACCTGAGTACTCAATGACTTCCTCTGGTGACTTTCCTTCCACCTCACGGGCAATATTGTCTATATCATCACGACCATATTTCTCATTAGCTTTAATAAACTGGTTAAAATCTCTTTTATTCCAGTTTGTAAAACCCTGTAAGCAGCAAGAGATTAAGAAGGCATTATCAGGTCGAAGGCAAGTATTTTCCAAAATTTTGACTTATGTATGTACCATTTGCTCCTCTGCAACATCACATAATTACAGTGGCCAATGGTCTTTCAGGATTTCCATAAATTTGCATTATCCAGAACTTATTACTGAATCATTAAAAGTCTAAGGAGTTCTTTTTGGGCATGACTCCATGTGCATTAGTAAAAGCTTTTTATCCTTTCTTTTTGAAGTTTTTGTGATACCTCTCCAAAGAAACACGCTCAGTGACAGTCACCCTCCTGCAGATACAAGAACCACACTTCAGAGGAGTACAAGGTGCATCAATGCAAGTGTTATCGCAGGTTCTTAGAGCAGGGCAAGTATCTAAAAGTAAGAGCTCCTACTTCAGACATTTACAAACCTGGAACCAGACAAACAGCTGGATGAAAGCATAAGTATGTCAAGAAGAGATCTCTAGTCCAAAAAGATGCAATCAAATGGAAAAAACTCTAAAGCACTGTCAAACAGAGAATTTGTTATGTACCAAAGAAATCAATCCAAAACTGAACAAGCAAGATGCAATGCACAAAAACATTATCCAAGAAAGAGACATTACAATTTAAAGACAGGGAAAGCAGAAAATGCCAAGAATAAACAAGCCAATCACATGCCTGGGCAATACTCTGTAGTGTATTGAGTTTCTTTCATCACAGAAATGTATTTACAAGAAACTTTGTCAGTTCTCCAGCTGAATAAGCTCACTCCACAATTAGCATGCTCTGAGTGAGTCTAACATACTCAGTACAACTATTTCTTTTTAATCATTAACAGTAGTACTGATAAGCATATCAGCCCCAGCTTAAATATCTCCTCTGCTATACATAGGTGAAATTAATAGTAAAATTGTGACCTTGCAGTTTTCTTCTAAGGTACACTATCCCCAATTCTTTTACAGAAAATTTTCTGAATCAAAAAATCCTGTTACTTTGAGACACACCTTTCTTTTTAACAATCAGCTTTTAATAAGCTCGCTCAGCAAGATAATTAGACAAAAGGTCAAAAAACTAGTCAGTGGCAGAAATTCAGTCCCAGTATAAAAAGAGCATGTCTAACAATTCAACTGTGACAAAATTAATGGATGTGACATGCCTTAGACACCTGCATAAATACCATGTACATTGACACAGGCTTGTCCTGATGCAAACCCTTTTTGATTTAAAAAAAACATACAAGCTTTATGCATTTACAAGAAATCCACTGATTGGATTTCTGCATGTATTGCTGGGTAGTACATCTATTATACAAGCCATTGCCTCAAATTTTCAAGGACTTTCAAGGAAACAAACAGTAAATGACTAAGATACAAACTTGTTCAAGGACAGGAAAGGTCCTTCAAAGCAAAACCAATCAAAATCATTACATGTTGTGTGCTCTGTTCTTTAACATCAGCATAGCTTTACTGTTTGTATTTACCATTACTTATATTCCATACTAGCAAAAACATATGATGAAATACTTCAGCTGATTTTATTTTACCTGTGTTAGAAGCTTTTCTTTCTCTTCACTTTCCTCAGTATTCAGAGGCATAGACTCATCTATCTTCTTTTGTTCCTCCTTTTGTATCTGAGCTGCATTTGGAAGGTCAGGATTCCTGGGGATCTAAAATCAGGGGTATCAAAAAGCAGTAATGCAGCAATGTTATTTCAAAGACTGCATTTTAAAAGCACTAATCTGTACAACGTAGATTCTTATTGCTTAAACTCCTCCTCCCAAAAATAGGACTGGATTTAATTCCCAAGTTTGTTATGCCCTGAACCCACCACTCCTGCAGACAATGACCTCAGCATGTTGTGAGAGGCAGAGCTGTTACAGGTCACTGATTTCAGTGATACTTTTCACTAGCAAAGGACCTGCCTTCCTACATCCATTGGATTAGAATGTTTTATAACTACAGTGAAACACTAAGTTCTGCCAGTTTTACTATAAAGCCATGCACACTGCCCAAGTAAGGACCAGACACACAACCTGATGTAAACAAGAACAAACAAAATTTTATCTGTCCCTCTCCACACTGACTAATTTAGGATTTATGACCTTTAAACTCCAAATCTGCTGCACACAATAGCAAACAAGTCAGAAACCAGTATCCAGTAAAGGTTTAGTAGACCTTGCTTATTCCTGTAGCAAAAGGCAGTGGAAGACAAGAATTGTTAAGCTGGTTTTAATATGTAAGAAATCTTCTTGACTTTACCAGTTTAAATGAAGACTGACACATAAAGCTTGGTCTCTGCCTATTGGTTACCTTCGGATATTGCTTATGGCAGTTTTCCGTTTTAATAATAAACTCTCTTCAGATTAGAAGTTATACTTCAATTTCAAAGCTAAACAAACTTAATTATATTTATCACTTTTACCACCAGTTAACAGTCATTGTAACCTTTTAAGATAAGTGCTCATGTTCAAACTTTCCAGGCTGACAGGTTTCTGTAACAGGTGTGAAACACTTCTTTTTACATGCATATTTGAACATTAGCAATTCTATCATCCTTCTTCATTGGAGCGTTAACTGAACAGATTCTTTCCCTAAACTAATTGCATATTTATCTTAATTCTGTCCTGAAATCCCCATGAAATTCTTTTGGCTGCAAACAAGACTGTAAAAAGCATGCTTTTTCTTAGAAATACATTTTGCTAATATTGATTCTACTCTCTGGCAGCGCCAATTTTCTATCTGTTGCTTTGTATGACAATTTTATACTCTCCAACACATTTTATAGGTGATTTCTTTTTCTTGCTGCAACCTGTCATGAAACCTGAGCCTTTTTAAAGCAAGTTACAGACATGTCTCGCTGGAAGCAGAGAATCCATCTGGTTTACTCAATCAATACTGGTCCAAGTAAGGATAACCAAGATTAAAACAGAATCTGTTCACTGCTTGTCCAGTAACATCAGCAGAGAAAAGGGAAAAATTCAGCTATGGCACAGTAGGAAGAAAAAATAAAAGAAGAGAGAAGTCTGTTGTCTTTTTTTTGTAGTAGTAATACATTCAGACTTCTCCACACCTTTAAACCTTTTACATCCCACCTAAATCCAAGGAAAACTGATGTCATTTTACTTACTTTCATATCAACACAAAGTCACTATTATTTAAGTTATTTTCTAAATAAGACATATGAAAGTTTTTACGAAAAAAATCATACTCTGGAAAGGTGATCTTATATTAACCAAATTTTCCTCACCTTAGACCCCATGTCAAAACCTTTGATTTTGAGTATATGAAGCATCAGAACTGTCTTTCCTTTTTCTACTCTATTTTATTGTTAGGAATCCACCACAAAACACAAAGCTACACAGATATGGATTTTTTACTGAAGGAAAGAATGACAGATTATTTTTTCTGCTCCTCAGTGGAACAGAAACAGAAGAATAGATGCTTTAAGCTATTTCTTTCACAGTAACTTAACAAGTCAAGGTTGCAATGAATTTACAAAAAGGAATACAAATACATTTCATTGATTTGAAAAGAAAAAAAAATGCATTACCTTATATCCTATAGTTTTACGGTAATACAGAATTTCTTTTTCCAGGAGTTCAAATAACCGTGGTGGGAAAAACTGAAAATCCTGAATATTTGGTTGTTTTGGAGGTCGTGGAGCCTTCAAAAATACACAGATACAGTAACATTATAGAAGCTTAACTTTTCTGCAAGTAAACTACCATAATTCAGCAGCAGTGGCAATGTATGACTTTGTAAATATACAGGGGTAGAGCAGGGGATGCAGCATGGGAGAAGAGGAACAAAAGAATAACATAAAACCCTTCCATACTTGCCAACTTCTTACCTTTGGGACTTTTGGTTCACTGACACGTAGGGCTTCTCTGAAATAAGCATCCACTGCATAATTGGCTTTACGTTCTCTTTTTGGAGGCTCGATCCATTCCATCATGCTCAGCTACACACAGAACAGAATAAAAAGCTACTTAAGTAACCGTTTGAAGTCACAAGAATAATGACAAATATGGTACTGCAAAAAAGGAAATATTTTTGCACAGCAAATCTAATGATTGTGCTCAATAATTTGATTATAACAAGTATTTAAGCACTTAAAAGATAATACACAAGTAAGGCAGTGCAGTGGAAAGAATAGATTATTTTACAGTATTCTAAGTATTTCAGACACCCAAGTAGGGCTATGATTCCATCTACCAAAACACAATGGAAGGGCTGCATACTTAGACTCGGAATTCTCTGATTTCTTGTGATGTGAATAAATTGTTTCTCCTCTAAATATCACAAAGAATAACCTCTATAAAGGCTACAACACAGAGAAAAATCCATTACCAATCAATTAATCTTAACTAAATCCTTAAAGTTATGTCATATTATGCAGTATTTAACTCACTTCTTGCAACAAAATTATCAAAACAAAGAATTTTATGTGTATACCCACACACTGTACCATATTCTCATCAAACAATTTATTTTTCTAAATGTTTCTTCCAAATCAATAAAAAACATGAGTTAGAAGGGCAAGAATTCACATATCGGATTGCAGGTAAAACCTTAAGGATATCCTCACTATACATCTTGTACAAAACAGAGACACAGAGGGAACATTGTGGGACTGAGTAATACCTCTTTGTATGGATGACCTTTCTATTATTAGGTAAAATCAATGTACCAGCTAAAACCTTGTTGGGCGTTAGGTTTCTTTCCTTTTGTTCCTTTTTACTTAGAGATTTTTTTTTCCCCATAAATTGCTAGGAAACATTAACGACTGGGTACTTAATAAAAAAAAAGAAGTGGCCAAGTTCAAGGGAGGAGGGCATCTGGTTGCACTTCTCTTATCTGGAGATCTCCCTCCAAGGGGCAGAGATACCTAGAGAATTGGGCTGGTAAAAGATGAGGCTAGGGCAGGTGCAGGCTCTCTCTCTCTCAGCTTCGGAGGAGGGTGGTCAAAGTCACTGCTTGGGGAAGGGAATTTGCTGCTGCCACCAGAGCCCAGCCCAGCTGCTTCTGCCGTGGGGTGAACCTCAGCTTGTGAGAGCAGCCACTGAACTGGGACCTTATTAACACCTACCTCACTAAAACAGGGACCTATCCCCATCCACTCGGGTGCCCGGGATCCTGAGCTCCCCCCTCTCTGCCCTGCTGGGAGCGGAGCTGCCGCTGTCCCATCCCCGCTGCTTCATAGGCACCGCTCTGGGCTTTCGCTACATTGTAGCCCCACACACCCTGCCTGCCGATACACCTTGCCAGCCCAGCTTGCTGCTCCTAAGACTCCTGCAGGGGCACCGGGACCAGCAGCCCCACGGGCCTGTGAAGCAAAGCCTCTCCGCCATCCCTTCCCGTCAGGGCCAAGCCGCCATTACCGCGTGCCCCCCCCCCCCCCCCCCCCCCCCCCCCC